AGCTGAACGACTTTAAATGATAATGAGCTCAAAATAATATGGTACATAGAGAGAAGTCCGGGCATGAAATTACGTATTTTTAAACTAATTATCTCCTGGATTTGGCTCAAAACTGGTCGAAGATTTTTAAAAGATTTTTACACGAGCGTGTAGAAAAACGTTCGGCCTACCACCATGTTCAATAGCAAGGTTTTCCGATCAAAAACGGTCAAGAAATGGCAAAAACAGAACGAAATTTCCAGGAGTGTCTCTAATTACCCCCAAGTACTCTATGTGTCATGAAACATTCAAAAATCACTTTAGCATAAAGTCCTAAAAAACGGCCGAAAAACGGTCCGTTAACTAGCCGTTAATGGCCTGTTTACGGTCAAAAGCATCTCTGATCATGTATGTGAAAAACGGTCTAAATAGTAGATGCACTGGAATAAATTGTATGTAAAGTAGTACGTCAGCTTGCAAGCTTGAATAGCACTTTGATAGCGTTAGTTTTCGAACCGACATGACCATATAGTTACAGTGACAGACTGGCAAACACAAGTTCTGATGTTCGAATCTCGATATTTTCAAGTAAGGAAAAAAATTATAGTGGCGTTAGATAGATGATGTGTATAGTCTAGTACCTAGATTAGATCGATTAGTGAGAAAGGGTTAATGCGACAGATAAGTCAATATCACAATGTCGAAGGAAAATTTTTTAGGAGTTAATATAACTTCTAAAAAACGGCCCATTAACGTTCTCAAAACAACAAAAAAACGGCCAGTAAATGGTAAGAAAACGTTTAGAAAACGATCCGTAAACGGTGAAAAAACGATTTATTTAAGACCCTAAAATGTTACGAGTTTTAGGTTCTGAAAACGGTCCGTTTAGGAACTAAAAACGGTCCATTTACGGCACGTTAACTTACCGTTAACAACCATTTAACGGCCCGTTAACGGTGCCGTTTTCTTGGACCTGGGTGGGTTATCATGTATATATTTTTATCTACAGGAAAATAAAACAAAAGCTTTCCTTTTCCTTCTCATGTCGTTCCACTGTATGCAATAATTCCCGTACTTTAAGTGAATCATTTTTAGTAAGAACTATGAGAGAGTAGGATGATTAGTAATAGTTAGAATCAGCTCACGAAACATCAAAGCCGGTATACAATCTTGTTTTAAAAACAATTTTACCCCCCATCTTTTGTGCTCGCATTCCCTCATGCGGTACAATACATTACAGAAACACCTTACACACTTGAAAACGCCATAGGTGTATGATCTCCAGGCCACATGTCTAGATGCAGTTTTCCACAAGGATTCCGACTATCACCTTGCTGAGCCTTGAAAGTGAAATAGTGCGAAGGACACTGCATTTTTTGAAAAAGTCAAATTTTTGAGGTTTAAGAGCATTTCTCAGTATCTTGCGCTTTCTGCCTGGAGACTTGGTCTAAACTAAAAAATAAGGTGATATTCGTGATCACCTTATTATTATTATTATAATTATTATTATTTAAATAATCCCAACAAAATGGCCGCTAGTACAAATACAAATATGTAATAGAACACCACATAGCATCATAACTAGATATAACGATTTTCCTGGTCGACGATTAGAGGATTTGACGATTAAAATATAAAATAAGGCTTTAGAATTTTTCAATTCTGAAAGTCTAAATTCTTATTTCTTATCCTTTGTATTCTATGAAACACATACAGTATCAGTGTATTGGGTACTTCTAACCACTTTCAAATTCTAACTTCTTATCTCTTGCCATGTTTACCTCTTCAACTCTATCCCATCTTCCATATTTACTTATTTGATGGATTTTAAAAATTAACGAATCTGCCAGAAAACTTATGTAGTATTAATAAAATGTGACCAAACTATTATTCACATAATAGATAGACGAAAAATACCTAAAATTTACGGTGATATGAGTTATTACAATAAATGAAACATATGAACATCTCTGGTTCTTTAGCGTTCAGCATCCACCGACGTACAGCATCAGCGTAAGAGACTACCACAACAAAATCATTTTGTTTGAGCGATTTTGTGGTTAGAAAGTTATATGTCTGTTCCTCACTATAAAAATGGCGGAAAACTCTGATGTTACATGTAGAATTTCACCGCGAATCCGATAGCGAATTTCTTTTATCTCTTTTTGAGCTTTTCCAGGATCGCCGAAATAGATGGATGCTTTTATGAGCTTTCACCTTGTACAGATTCTTTTTTGAACAACATGATCATGAAATCAGTCCTTTTCAACTGGTTGTAAGTATTCTTTGCAGAAGAACCGTCATCTTACGAATATATTCCTGACAAATCTTCAAATAAAATTAGGGTGAGTCTACTGACAGCCCCATGCAAAACACTTTGCGGGAAGTATCAATAAGGGAACTATCTGACATATCAGCGGCCCAGCGTTTGAGCCTTCCTCGAATTATACTTCGTTTCTCAAGATTCGGATTCGTGTTTAAAAAAAGTGGCGACAAAGCTGTGTGCTGAAAATATTTTAATTCTGAAATGTTTGATGATGTTCGGTTGGTGGCGGCATGCCCCTCTCACTATGAAACTCAAGGGAAGTATATGTGTGCCCGTATGTTCACCATTAACTGTTGACAGATGGACCCACATATGATGTGAATCTCTCATTGAAATGTTTGACATCCACAACCATTACTTTTCTGAGGCTAACGGATAATGATTGACATAAAGCGATGAAACATATCGTCGGAAAATAACGGCAGTTTTACTTTTGCCGATTTCAGTTCTCACATGATTGATCGTATTGAAATCTCCTAGTTCGATGCAGCGTATTTTGTTACTGAACTTGTCGCTCTTGGCTAAAAATACAGTAGATTCTTTTGTAGCGAGCGGCATCAGTTTCTTCAGAAGAGATTTTCATACACAAATTAATCATGCAAATTAACGCTAAAGCCGGAAATGTTACAACATTTTCCAAGAACACAAGTGTTCTTCTATAAACCAAAGGCGGTATACATCTTGTAAAAAAGAATTTTCTTAGGCGGCTCGCACTCCTCCATGCAATACATTAATGCATCACGTTACACACTTTGTTCTTTTTCAAGGTTTCTGCAATTGCTTTTGCACCTTCATCCGATATATTATTGTTGTACATATAAAGACTTGTTAATGTTTGGTTTGTTTTCAAGGCTTCTGCAATTGCTTTTGCGCCTTCATCTGATATTTTGTTCAACGCTATATCAAGAGTTGTTAATACTTGGTTTGTTTTCAAGGCTACTGCAATTGCTTTTGCCCCTTCATCTGATATATTGTTGCTGTTAATATCAAGGGTTGTTAATGTTTGGTTTGTTGTCAAGGCTTCTGCAATTGCTTTTGCCCCTTCAGATGATATATTGTTGTGTGATAAATGAAGAGTTGTTAATGTTTTGTTTGTTTTCAAGGCTTCTGCAATTGCTTTTGCCACTTCATCTGATATACTGTTGTTGGATATATCCAGAATTGTTAATGTTTTGTTTATTTTCAAGGCTTCTGCAATTGCTTTTGCACCTTCATCTGATATATTGTTGCTGTTAATATCAAGACTTGTTAATGTTTTGTTTGTTTTCAAGGCTTCTGCAATTGCTTTTGCGCCTTCATCTGATATTTTGTTCAACGCTATATCAAGAGTTGTTAATATTTGGTTTATTGTCAAGGCTTCTGCAATTGCTTTTGCCCCTTCAGATGATATACTGTTGTCAGCTGCACAAAGAGTTGTTGTGTCATTAGATCTTAATTTCTCTACAATTTTGTTTTCTTCCTGGGATCGGTTTTGCTAATAAGTTTGTGATAAATTTGATTTTTCCGTTTGGGGTACAGCTGCTTGTAGCTTCCGGGATGATAATGATGAAACGGATAGGTTTGGCGAACCTGATGAAGAGGAGCAAATGTAGCATCTGTCTATAAAGTGCTGAGATTTTCACTTACCAGAGGTCTTTGAAGAAACCTTTGTGTCTGCTACCGGTTTAGACTGATAATGCTGAGTGGAGCCAGCACCTGCAGCGGTCGTAGATGGTGGTTTTAGTAGCATGTATGGTGGTTCGATCTCTTTCAACTGAATAATGTGTAAATCGTTGGCCGCATCCAGGTGACCAACAACCTCGAAATATGAACCGGGCATCAGAATAACTTCTTTTTCGGTGTCACTGTAGTACGAGTGAGCTGTGATCGATTTCGCATTAATGCACGAAATAGAAAGTAGAGTTCTTTTGCCACTCTTTCCGAAAAACTTCTCTGACTTCAATACATCGACTGTTGTCGTACATGAACTGACACCCCACCATGCGAATTTGAATCCTGTCGGATATTTGTCGCTTAAATCAACATGTTTTACTCCACGAAAAATGGTCTCTGTCTTTGACGGCAGTTTGTAAAGCGCAGTTAAAAATAATTTCAGGTAACTAAACCATGGCTTAAGATTTTCTCGCTTTTCTGCACGTAATGCATCATTTAGTTCTTGATACAAACTAGGACCACCGTCAAATTCAATAGTATAGAGTTGAATCGAAGCAGCCTCGTCCTGAGTGAGACCCTCAGCTGGCTTTTTACAATTATGAAGAGATAATTTGACATAATCTTGTAAATCTTCAAACAAATGCTCGACAGGCTTGATTGCTTCTGCTAAGGGCACGATTGGTTTATCGTGATAGCCTTTAATAGGGATAAGTGATTTGTCGATAGGTTCATCACGAATATCCGTAAATCGTGAATTGTTTAACTTTGCTTGTGCCATAACTTAACCAATCCTAAAACATGTACAAAAACTACATTGTCGTAATCTTACTGATTACTGAGTACTGACTGTTTAGTGTGTGGTGTTATTACAGAGTACAACATCTTTGTGAAACTCCGAAGGAGATCTCAGGAAGAAGTTTTGGACTCTCTCAGGTCTTTCGCAAGCATTAAAATATTTTGTCGCTTTTCAAACCTTCTTTTGAAACATTTTAAGGCTTTAAATGGGTTGAGATTTTTAATGCGTTCTCTGGAGTTATACATAGGAACTGAAGACATTCGAATCCATTACTTTTCTCAACGCGTATAATGTATGTAATTTTAATGCATTATTACGTTTTTAGAAAGCTTTTGGAGTTTTAAAGCTTCTCAGACGTTAAGAGCCATTCCAAATAAGGGACGACCAAGTACTGCAGAAGCTGCTCAATCGACTTTCTCCAAACTTGATTTCAATTACATAGGTCAAAAGTACAATTAGTAGTAAGTTTTTTGCTGCATATCGCAGCTCTACAACCCAAGCAGTTACTGAGATATTCAAGTTTTAAGAAAACTTGCCATTTTCTTGGCAGTGAATTAGGATGAATTAGCGTTTAATCTTGAGTGTATTTTTTTCTAACGGCTTGGCTTAGAGACGCGAAAATTTCAGCACAAATACAACTTGGTTCAGGCTGGAAAACAGTGCGAGTCCGGACTATAGAGATGGCACTACCGCTACTACTTCACCATTCATTATCTCGTGCGTAATCAGCTCAGTAAGACTCAGGCTTTTAAGGTAGATATTCGTAGAGTGCGTTGGCAAAAAGGCAAGAAAAAAACTTTGGACTTTCAAGAGCAAAGCGATATATTGAATTTTTAATGTAATTTCGGCATCGACGGATAAGCTCAGTCCATATAAAACCTGCTACTATTCACATCGACCTTTGACGCCAGCGACGAAACATATCTCATATTATAGAGCTCAGCAAGGTGAACCGAATGGTGACAACCGCAACTCTCTAGCATAGTTAAAAAAAGTTCCAGACATTTTACCCTCGCAGCGGAAAAATGTATCTTCGTCATTTTCTGTCGGCTTTGGCCGAACTTTTAGAACGTCTGCAGACCACATAACCTAACGTAGAACCTTGAACTTGATATCAAATGAAAGAGCGCGACGAATTCTATATATTTCGATAAAGAAAACTTATGCTACCCCTTGCAGTCTTGAGATAGAAATTTCTGAAAAACTCGGTTTTCTAGAAAACATGCACTTTGACATGACCGTACCGTATAGTTACAGTGACGGACTGCCAAACATAAGTGTCGGATCAAAAACTAAGATTATCAAACTGCTATTCAAGCTTGCAAGCTTACGTACTACTTCACATCTAGTTTATTTCTGTGCATCTACACAGTGTGAAATATGCGACAAAAATATGCAACGAAAAACACACACATTAGATTCTATAAACCGTAAACAGGTCGTTAACGGTCAATTAACGGGCCATTTTCAGGCCGTTTTTAAGTACTTTATGCTACAGCAATTTTACAACGATTTTTCAATATTTTATGACACATGAGTACTTTGCGGTAGTCAGAAACACTCTTGGAAATTTTCGTACTTTTTTTGGTATTTCTTGGCCATTTTTGATCGATGAGGTAATGGATTTTGTAGAGCAGAAATCTCTATCAAATGCGCCTAGGAATCAAGTCTTAAAACCTCAGTTAAGTGCACAAAAAAATAAGTTGCAAAAGTGTGTTATTATTTCTGGGCCATCCGTTAGTTTCGTGACACGACATTACCGCGAACGACATTACCGCGAGACAATACCGCGAACGACATTACCGCGAACGACATTACCGCGAACGACGTTACCGCGAACGACGTTACCGCGAACGACATT